AAAGCAGTGATGCACCAGCGCACAACAATAATATGGTAATAGAAGAGAACTCGATACCAACAGGAATATCTGATATATGCAATTCATGGATAAAAATTGGCACAAAAGCAATAACTAATTTAATGAATTACTGGTTTAGGTTAGTATGAGTTGACCGAAGAATCAACTTCGAACTGACTAATTCTGGTCAAATTTGCAGATCATTTGGCCAGATCTAGAACAAAACAACTTTAAATGTGGTCAAATGATCTGCAAGTTTTGACCAGAATTATGAACGATGATTTTATTGATCATGTGATGCAAATCACTGCGGTTTTTTTTTTCTTTCGGCAGCCTGTGCAGTGTCCCATCCCTACTTGTCACTTATTTTGATATTTGATTGAATAATTGGTTAAATAATTTATCGGTTATGACCGGCTAGACCGATCGCGGTTAACCGGTAATGACCGACCGATGACCGACCGAACCCATCCCCAGTTCCGTTTTTGTGGTTTGTAGTACTCGTGCAAATAAGTAAAACACTTTTTAGTTATTGATACTGTATACGCATTTGTCTTGTGCGTTTTAATGTGAAACTAACATAAAAAAGTGCAATTGAATACGTAGTAATTATGACAATTACATAACAATCACGTAATTACGCCTACACTACTACCAGAAAGGCATTTTATACAATATAAATCATATCTGTTTTTTTTTTTAAAAAAAAAAAAAAAGATAAATTTACGCAGTTGTAAAATTTTGAGTTTCGAACGGAGACGAACTTAGCATTCATATTATTCATATCAATATGAGTATAATTGTATGTTCCGTTTCCCCCCTAACCCCTAAAAAAATACCTGAATTTAACAGGATGCCTTAGACTTTTATGTTAAAACTATAAAAAAGGATACGCATTCCTAATCGAGGATGTGATACGTATATTATAAAGTCATATGTTAACGATTATTTTAACTTTAAGTAAACAAGTTAAATCTATCTATCACCGATTGGTCATTGATTGAAAATACTAATACAGTAAGTCTAAAAGGCAGTAGATTATTTGTAATTCAGTAATTGTGTTAAGTGCAATTGCATCTATTTTTTCAGAAATGCTTACCGACTTTTATTAATGATTATGAGTAAATATTACTCACTCAATATGTATTATAAAATTTATTTATTTAGTACCATTTATGTATGAACATTCATGATAAATTTGTGCACTAACTAAATCAGCGTATCTAGAATTATAAAAATCATCTAAAAATAAAGTAATAAAATAATTTGGTCCATCAAAATGTCTATCTGAAAGAACTGAATCATCGTTATCAGAAATTATTTTATGCCCTGACATAGAATCGTCATGGGAAATAATTTGATACGGCTTATTACCATTTAAGTCGACACAATATGTCTCAATAACATGATGTCCTTCACGTAACATACCATACGGTCTCATTCCAACAAATTCCGATACGAACATATTTCCTGATATAGCTTCTGATGATTTTTTAAATCTATCAGATGACCAAATTAATACACTAAATTTGACAAATGATTTTGATGTATCAAATTTAGGTAAAATTTTTAATTTCACCACAACTCTCGAATTTAATATTAAAATATTGTTTGACTCCGGTTGTATATTTCCAAATAACTTTTCTGTACAGCAATCATTTTGACCCATAGAAATTTCTTTATACTCATAAGAGTAATAGCGAACATGATCTGGAACTTCTTTCC